CTAAAATGTCATGCAAATTTTACAATATACAGAGTGTCAAGACATACAAATTTCGCACTTTCGGATTCCTCAACAGTACCATCCTAAGCACAGGCACACTAAACGGGAAGAGAACACATTTATTTATGACATCGTATTCCTTTGGATGCTTCTTTCTTCTTGGTGTGCTATTTTCAACAAGGCAACACTTCTGCTCGTAAAAATACTAAAAACCAATTTTGAGATTCCACTTAGTGCCATCGGTTATTCCAGGCAGGAATGCTCAAACCATTATCATCTCACTACACAACAATATGTACTTACTAAGATCCGCCATGAGAGCTTGGTGTCCGCAGCTCTTGGAAAGCTCAGCTCGTCTACTTCTCGATGCCAGTCGGCGAAACCAGCAAATCGTGGAGAGCAGTTTCTTCCATAAATAAAGCCGAAGATGGCGTTTGCGATTCAAATTTTCTACTCGGCGTCAAAGCACAACATTGAACTCATCATTTTCCATTGCTGCAAAGGCAAAGGAGCGAAGACAGGCCGCGAGAAAGGCCAAAACAATTGCCAAATTTCTCCCCCCAACTGCCATTGTCGTCATCATCTTCACCAACACAGTTTTGTGCAGACTTTTTCCCGCTGGATCGGACCCAGGAAAATGAAAACGGCCCACTCAGTGGCCTGGCGCACGGACTGAAAGGGGCAATTGAGGTGTTGTTCAGTTGAAGGTTGACGTCAGGGGTCAAAGGTGTGGACTTCGACCTGCGACCTCGCGTACTTGAGAATCAAAGATAATTTTTACCATGGCCTTAGGGTTCCCAGTAAAAAGGCAACATTGCCTGTTAATGTTGGAAATCCCTAACAAAATAAGAAGAAACAAATAATAATAATTTGCCGACATCACTGCCCGCGATATTCTGCCGCCAGTCCAAATTCTGCTGCAAGCTCCAAATACGGACCGTCAGAGGACACACTGCGTGACCTTGTTGCTGAGGCCATGCATGGCGCCAGTGCAGTGAGCAGCAAAACAGAGTAAACAATGTAATTCTTCGCGGTCTACAAGAGCTCCCATCGGAGAACCTGTCTGCCATAATCGGCACCCTCGCCCCGCAACTCGCTCCAGAGGACATCAAATCTGCAGCCCGCGCCCGGCTTGGAGTACAACCCCGCAATACTCGCATGCAACTTCATTTATGGGAAAGCGAATCGCTCGGGCCTGATCGGGATCCCTCGTGTACATTGACACATCTGTAACCCGAAATAAGTCATGAATTGCACAAACCATACGCTGTGTGGTCTCAAAACGGGTTTATTCAAACGTGGTAGGTCTACCTTATAGGCCTTTCGCACGACGGGACAAAGTCACGTCTGCTCGGGCTCGCGGGCGGATCACCAAGGCGATCATCAAATGGCGGGAAATCTGAATCCGCAGACCCGACGGTCTGCCCGCGACACCCTGACCCCCTGGCTGTGCGTTTTCGTTTTCGATTTCGTGTTTCCTGTACTGGTTTGGCTTGTGTTCGCGATCGCGTCTTCTCACTGAGCGTTTCCTGAACAGCAGCACAGGTCCGACTTTCTGAACAATGGCCACCCGGACATTCAGCCCAGAATTCGAAAGGATTCTTATCGAAATCTACTGCTCCCTACTTGAATGGACTGATTTTGACAGGGAACCCTAGGTGAATCTTTGTGAGGTGAGCACAAGTACCAGCATATTGTGCCTGACGACAGTTTGGAGGAAGAGTGTTCCACCGACCTGATGCCAGAAAAGAAGCTGAGAGCAGTCCATACCCAATATGTACCGTAGACTTTACGCTGTCTGAACTCACGGATATCTGAAGGGGTCGTGTTGGGATCCCTAGTGTACATAGGCCCATTGCGTAATGATGTCATGCGTACGCGACCCACCTGGAAAGTGCCGAGTTGTGGGCAGAAGCAAATCTCGGCCTTGTATTTGTAATGTCAGCTTCTGCAAGGAAAACTTTTCGTAGTCTTTTGTTTGTCGGAGATGGAGGCGCAGGCTGTGAAGCTCTCCGAGGACGATGCGCCTGGAGCATCGTTAGGTCGGAATACTGATGGCTCTCAACGCTTGGCAAGTCAACTTTCCGTGAAAGAATTGAAGCGTTGGCTAGCTTGCCGTAATGCTCGTCGATCGGGAACGAAACCTGAATTTCTGATAGTGCTAAGCTGCTGATGGTGCTGTCCCTGCTGAAGTTGATAACGAATGGGAGGATGATGAAGGGGAGGATGACGAGGAGGATGGTGATTCAGGCACAGCCAAGTACAGCTCGTTCCGTGGAATAGACAAAGGGTTCAGGTTCTTCAAGTCAGGCCACATCCAGAAGATCCAGTTCAATTCACTGCCTGTCTTTCCACAATTCTGTTTTGTACGCTGCGTCGTCCTGCCCTCTTTCCGTAAGGACAGGAAATACAATGTTCGGATATGCTGCACTGCTGGCGGTGTGTCACATGTCCCTATGGTTCTCACTGCCTACTGCACATGCCCTGCTGGGTTAGCTGGTTCCTGTAACCACATAGCGGGCCTATTATATGCATTGGAGGACTTTGTAAGGCTTGGCCTGCGTGAAGAGGCAGCCAAAACTTGTACTGAGAAACTTATGCAATGGAATCATCCCCGAGCAGCACGCGTCATGGCCAGCAGAGTAAAGGAAGTTCACCTGAAGAAGGACACGTATTCAGGCAGAGATCTTGGAGAAAAGAAAAAGAGCATCCCATTTTATGACCCCAGGCCTACAAACCGCAGATTTGTCAACCCTGAGGCAGTTGCCAGGCTGAGTAATGACTTGGAGCGCGTTGAGGAGAAGGCTTTGGCAGAGGACAAATCGGGAAAGATCAAGATGTATGGCAGCTCATGTTGGCTAAAGCTACTTGAACCTTCTCCTGTCCCAAGCTCAGATGACTCGGAATGTGACGAGGGCAGCAGCAGTGAGTCAGACAATGAGCGCCAGATGGGTGTACCAGAGTCTTCTTGTGAGGCGCCTGTGCCTATGGCCGCTATTGATCCGGAATCACCTGCTGATTTTTATGAACACCGTGTTGCTGTGTCCAGTGCCCGTGCAGCTGAAATTGCAAGGGAGACGAAGGGACAGTCAACTAACCTCTCCTGGTACAATGAGCGGTGACTACGAGTGACCGCAACACTTGTTAAGAGCATTGCAAGCCGACGAAGTGATGATTTCTCCACCATCATCAACAGGAAATTGGCTCCACCGCAGCATCCTACAGCGGCTATGAAGTATGGCTTAGCGCATGAACGTGATGCTGTCAAAGCCTACATCACACGTGCACAGACTTCGGATGTTCCTGTTGTCGTCGAATCCTGTGGCCTTTTCATCCATCCAACCAAACCATGGCTTAGTGCTTCGCCTGATGGTCTCGTCATGGTCAATGGCAAACTGCAGCGTGTGGTGGAGATCAAGTGTCCTTTCACCATGCGGAATGGTATGTCGCTTCGTGAGTTTGCTGGACGGCGGACTTCATGCTTGACGGATGTTGATGGCAATTTGGTCCTCAAGCGAACGCACACCTACTACTACCAAGTTCAAACGCAGATGTATGTGTTGCGGTGTGGAGGCTGCCGACTTTGTCATATGGTTTCCAGATGGTCTGTTTGTGGAAACTGTCGCTGTTGATCATTCCCTTGTGAAGGAGTTTCTGCCCCGACTGGAGAAATTTTATTTCTCGCATTACCTTCCGGCCGTTCATGCTGCTCTAATGTGATGTTGTTCGTAATGTCAACACTGGACTTCTTTGGAACTTTCTTTTCCTAGTTACTTCACCATAGCACTCTTCGAGAACTCACAATCTTCTTTCAAAGTGATTGTTTTTCCATTCAATCATAAAAATTAATACCCTGTTTGCACTCGTGGAGTACTGAACACGATTAGTAGGCGTTTGAGTACTGGTGGGATAAATGACTTGTTTATTGGATGTGCCAACAGGAAGCACTAGTAAAAGGAATGGCAGCTTAGAACACCGTAGGTGACGAAATACAATAATGGTCAAATAATAGGGTGTGGGGTGGTGCCAAAACAAGAAAGAACAGAGTAATCACAACGCTCTCAACACAGCAAATAGAAAGAATAATGTGCTCAGTGCTAAGCTGCACCTAAACAATAAAGTTTCTGGGAACACCACCGTTATCTGTGACAATAATAAAATGTTCGCTTGTTTACATAATTATGTACATTGTTAAACAGGACAGGGCGATTTATGAATGAAGGTGTGAAAATTGTATTGACATCGAGACCATATCAGGTAGCAACCAATGTGGGTTGGTAATTGCACAAAACACACGCTGAGAAGACAGCTTGCTCAAGAATATCAAATAAATTATTGTCAATGACACCATCCAGAAGACGATATTGCATGCTTACTTTGCCCACAACTCGGCACTTTGCCACGGAACGCGATTACATCATGTCTCCCAAATATGGGATTACGCAATGAGCTTATGAATGGACCCACGGCTCTTGCTACGGCTACGTGAGTACTAGCATGAAGATGTACAGGTTCCAGACCCAGCTGGGTTGTGACAGGTAAAGAGAGAAGTGCTCCGAAATCAGAGAGTCAAAATACTACTCTATATACGCAACATCATAAGGAGGAATACCGAATCACTCTCGGAGCCTGATCGAGATCCCTCGTTGTATATTGACACATCTGCAACCGGAAACAAGTCATGAATTGGACTACTAGTAGCCGTACGCTGTCTGGTACCCTTCCTTAATAGGCCTTACGATATCCATGATAATTATCAGGGATCTGTGAAGGGATCGAGTTTGGGTTCATGGTGTACATAAATTAATCCTCGGCTCCCGCTTCGTGAGCTTTACCTGGCAGAAACTCATGTCGGCTGAACTGAGGCATGCAATTTTGATACGTACGTTATGATCCGAAGTGCACTCTCTACTGAGCCGACTCTATGCCTCTATAGCTTATCCATCATAGTTATCTAGTGTTGTCGGATTAGAAAGCTAAACGAAGAGAGAGAGAGTATTGAATCATATTCCTGTTCCAGGTGATTGCAGACAATTATCGTCCCTCGTCGAATTCTGTCAGGTTGGTTGTTGTGGAAATGGTCTGGTATGCCTTGGTTCCGCTTATTTGATTCTTTGGATGTTTTGTCTCTTTGTACGTCTCCGCGTTCATTGTATAGAATTTCATGTAAACTACGGAATTTCTTGGCGAAACAACACGAAGTTTTATGTCATGGAGTCTCTTTGGATACCCGTAAGTGCACTCTTAACAATTATTAAAAATAAAATTCCAGTTCGTTGCTGGTAATATTCCCTCATTGGCTTGTTTTCGTCTTTTCTGTCGTGCCTCTTTCATTAATATAATTCATATCAGTTTCTTCTCCGCCCAGTGCTTAATCAGATTTTTCCTGTGCGTAAGGTGAAGTAAAAAGAAAGCTTAACAAATAATAGACTTGTAGTTAATCCTAGAACTACCGGAGGCATCATAATTATGTTGCATTCGCGAATTTCAAAATGGGATTGCAGTGATAGGTGGGGTTGGAATCTCCCACCATGTTCTGACTTTTATTTGGTATTATGTCAATGGCAGTGGGCTGTATCTCCCAAATATTAGTAAAGCTCCGAAATGCCAGGCGCTGCTACCTAGACCTACCGCGTGGCACCATAATGACTCCACGTACTACAGGCATCAATAAGAGGGCGAATTTGGCTTAGAGCCACACGAGAATAACGTAAAGAGGAATACGTTTGGGATCAAGCAGATGGGGACCATGAAGGTGATAATTTGACATATTATGGAAATGCTAATGTGCATATCTCAAGTGTTGTTTTTTGAATAATTAATTTTTATTCTCACGATGACACCATCGCCAAAAAGAGATACATTTATGACAAGGTGAGACTGTGGGTTAACCCTTTCACTGCTGCAGGGTTGTGCACACAGGCTCTGGAAAAAATCCGAAAAATAGGGCCGATGGCCAACTCCACTACGTTATGGTTCAGGCAACTGGGTCGGTGAACTTTTGGGAAATGAAGGCCAAAGCTACCAACATCACACTGACGAACTCGATAGGTTCCCCCAAAAGAGGTACAAAGCTGTATAGGACACGTAAGTTTGCTGAATTTGCCTAAAATACGGCAAAGTCGGCAATTGCAGTTGAAATACCAGACGAAAAAAGGGAAAAAAAGAGACGCAGAACGTAACCAAGCGGGATCCGCACCCGCAACCTCTCGTTCATGAGGCAGGGACTGTACCAACTGACCAGCAGTGACTACACATGTGAGGAGAAGACTAAAACCGGGTATTTATACCATGACGTACATGTACGTCATCAGAGCCTGGACGTCATCTAGGATGACGTACATGTACGTCATCCGCGGTGAAAGAGTTAAACGGTTGGAAAGTGATTTACATCACTTTGAACTTTACAAGTATGGGAGAGGGTGAGCGCTGCAGGAGCAGACTGAGTTAATCAGTTGTTATGGTCATTACCGTAATCTTAAATTCTGGTGAAACAGACACCTGTGTTCGCCTGAAGTTTGGAAAGTGATCCACTATAGTCTGTTTCAAAAAGATTTACAATCAGGTTTGGGTCTTAAAAAGTATGAAGATAAGGGAAATTTGGACAACAAAATACATCGAATGGCTTGTTAGGACACGGCAAATTCTTCTGTGAAGGTTTTGGAACAATTGGACCAACCGTTAATAATAATAATAATAATTCTCGTCTACGTTCCAAAGGGAACTCACGACAATGGAGTGACAAAAAGCACCGCGGCAGAGAGAGAAAAGAGAAGATATGATATTTGACGAAAACAATCACGGTGTAGATTTCACATGAGTTCCAATACACCACATCAGCAAAGCTCTTTCTTAGAAAAATAAAAAATAAGATAAATGAAATGAAATCATTGGTCATCACAGTTAGTCATGTGCGTCCACACCAAAATCACAGCCGGTCATGTGTGTTCACACCACCGCAGAACAAATGTTACTCCACTTCTGCCGGTCAACTGCACAACTTCTTAGGGTTTCGAGGTGCCGGCTCGTCTTCAATGCGACGGCGGTGAACTTGACGTCTTGCTGGAGGGTGGTGACTAAACAGGACCTTGGAGCTCCCCTCCTGTGCCTCACAGCGTCCTCCATTGATGCGTATGCAATCATTGCTTGATTGCCTGGTGTCGATGATGGCTGGCGTAGGATGTGTCCAAGCAGACGCCATCTCGCTCGCTTTGCCATAGCGGATATTGGCTCAGTGTGAGCAAGCTCATACAGGTCATCATTCGACACGACACGAGGGTAGAATATACCAAGCATATGCCGAAGTTGCTTGCGATGGATCTTATCCAGGGAGTCTTCCAGTGCCTTAGAGAGGCCTGCGCAGCCAATATTGTACGTGAGGATAGGAAGAACGTATGCGTTGTAGAGTCGTACCATGGTGTTAGTTTGTAGATGTTGCCGCTGAAACCAGATCGCCTTCATTCGACCAAATGCCACAGCAGAAAGACCAATCCTGTGTGTCACATCTTGTGCAGTGCCAAACAGAGAGCCCAGAGTCCTGATGCTTCTCCATTGCTCTTGACCACGGTGCACTGTTGTTTCTGAAACTGGTTCAAGGCCGTTAAGGAGTTAGAATTTCGGCCAGGTTTCCGGCCTTTTCCCATGGTTTACAATTTGCCCAGGAAGCCAGTATCGATTTTTTTATCAAAACCCACGATTTATCCTTTCCTTTTTGGCCTTGTGGTTACGAATGCTGTCTGCTGACCATGAAGTTGTGAGTTCAAATCCCAACCTATCCTCATTTTTTTCATTGTTTTGCAATTATTAATTTTGGTGATCAAGCTGGTACAAGACAAAGAAGATGGCTGCACCAAACGACTTGTTGTTGGAGCTCGCGCTTCCTGCCGAACTGACTGACACTTGACTGGCTCACGCCATGTGAACACACCCACAACACTGCAATGGTGTGAGTGAATTATAATGGAAGTCATCGCGCTGTAGCTTTTTGAGATTTATTTTAGTATTTCAAGATCGCCAATTTATTTGAATTTAGCAGTCAACGCCGTCTTCTATCAGCGTTCACAAGCGTCTGCTTTTCTCAAAATGTCGTCGAAGTCACCCGGATAGCTTTGCCAAGTCATGGCCTTGGGAATGAGGCCGTGTCGATGTCGTTTTCGTCACACTGTGAGTAAATTGCATCGCAGCTCAAAGAAACTATTTTGGTCACAAAACGAATTGGGACCCATGCCGCTCGTCAACATTTACAACACTTTCGTTTCGACATGTCCTCTCTGACTCCATTATCGATACGAGGAAGAACTCGTTTGTTGTAAACCAGACGTACATGCATGACTGTATCAACGTGAGTGAGTTGTCATTTTTCCTGCTTTCGCGCGGAATATTTCTTCGAGTTCACAGTGAGTTTTTCCAGGCAGCGCTCGAGTGCTCATACGGTAAGACGCCAAACTCCGCGGGCGATCGCCAGGATTGCAAATGTTTTTGAAACGGACTGTAGGTTATCTGTAGCATAGAATGATATGAAATGCCAGCGCAGTTACAATATTCTTGGAATGTTCTTGAAGTTGGTCTGGCGGAAGCCATGTTTGGCAGGCGTAGTGTCGCTGCCGATAAAGCATTTCATTTGATTTTGATAACTTTCTGGCCAGGAGTTTGGGGGTGAATGCGGGGAGAGTGACGTGATCATTGTGGGCAAGGAATTAGAAGTGACAGAACACAGAGACACATAGTTATAATTATGTTGAAGATGAAGATGAGTGAAAAACGAATTGCCATGGCTTCTCGATGAGACTGATACAGGATACGAGTCGAAAGAGCAAGCGGATAATGGTGGTGATAAAGCTATGGAGCCATACCCAAAACAGAGTATCAACCTCCAACACTGGGGCAGGATTTCCTTCATGAAACTGTGTTCTCTGGCAAAGTTGGTAGATAGTGGAAATGTTTCGTACCAAGCAAACCTGACGGCATGCACCCGGTTGTTGCTTCGGAAGTTTGCCGGCTTTTTTGGGATATTCACAATTTTGAAGATGGGGTAGATGCATTATTCGCATTTGTTGACCAAAATATGATCCATGTCAGGATCAAGTGCACAATGTAGGAGGAAAACAGAAAATTGGAGAAAACAGAAAATTGGAGAGTACTCCACTTTGAGTGAAGGCAATTTCATGGTATTTTGAATCACAACCTTTCGCAACAGGCGTCCTCTGTACTCGCAATAATCTGCCGACGGCCCTTCGGCTGGATAAGAATGGATGCGAGATAATAAAATTAAATCATTCGAAATAGTTTCCAGGAACTACTCTGCTACTTGGGGATTGATCACAAAGATTGTCTCCGGACACGACGACGAACGGAATTCGAACATCTGTCTTTCTCAACCCAAGTGGATGCAGTATGTGAAAATGGAAGGTCGGAGCCGTCAGGCGAAATAACACGTCACAGTAAATTTGAGATCTGCGGGAAGAAGATGACGACGTCCACTAATTTAGTATCTGTGTGTGTGACTCTGTTTGTCAGCTATGACATCCCATGTGGTTTCATGCCTAGCATGTACGTCTGAACCATCCTGCAAAGTTGGAATGACGTAGGTTGAGCGATCGCTCCGCGAAACATACTTTTTGAAATTCTCTTCATAGTACATCTTCCACCATTGAAATTTCGAATTTCTTGCTGAGAGGGGTGGCTTGCAACCTCGATATAGCTTATTCCAGGCATGCTTTGGAGCCATCTCCTGTTGAAGTGGTGGCGGAGATCTGCCCTGTCACTGCTACAACAAAAAATTATTCGATCTGAGAAAGGGTGAGATTGCGAATCTCGGTTGAATATTGAGTACTTCAAGCCTTTTCACGACGAAGAAGGAGTTCTTTTTGCAGACGGACGTCGCGGCAAAAGACATGTTGGGCGACTTCTGGCGTCTGTTGAAGCCAGGGATCATTTGTCCAGTCAGGTCGGCAGCCTAACCGTCGGTAAGCTTGTGTTTGGATCCCGTTCTGCTCTTTGTGGTAGATCACAAACAATTTGATATCGCACAAATTGATCTCAGCATCGCGCGTACGGTATTTTATATTCAGAACATCCCAGTGTCTCTGTGTGGCTGTCCTATGCCACGAGAAACTCCAATCAGGTTCCTATGTCCTCTGCCTTCATGATTGAATGTCCACTTCTTTGAACAACGAACACACCAAACGAGGACGGCTTTGCAATGAAAAATACAGCTATACTGGAGCTGAAAA